TATCCTTCAGACATTCGTAGCTTTCCAGGGATGTTGAGCAAGTGAATGAGACAATGAGATTTTGTTTTGGGAAACTAACTGGTGGCAGTTAGGATGATGGTTGAAGGGAGGGGTGAGGCTACAGGGGGGAAAACAGAACAGATGTAGGATCAGATGTAGGATCCCAAGATCTCACTGCCATTTACAAGCCAAGGTGACGAGAGTAGCAGTGTTGATTAGGAATAGAGCATGTGGCATGTGCCGACCCCTTGCTGAGCACCTACACAGGTGTCCTCCTGGTTCACGTTCACAACTCAACGGCTAGGTACTATCATTATCCCTCTTTTACAGACAAGGAAAGATTGGAGTGAGGTCACATAGCTAGAAGTAGTACTGGTCAAATTCAGACACGAGCAGTTCAATTCCAGATTCCACTCTTGTAACCCTTAGGCTGTATTGAAAGGCGGTGGGTAGATGGTAGTGCCTTTGACCAAGTTTGGGAAGATAATTGGCTTAGTTTTGAGCACCTTTTTTTTAAGAGATTGGATCTTACTCTGTTGCGCAGGCTGGAGTACATGGTGGGATGATGGCTCACTGTAACTTCAAACTCCTGGGCTCAATTGATCCTCCCACCTCAGCCTCCCTAGTAGCTAGGACTATAGGTGTGCACCATCACGCCCAGCTAACTTTTTGCTTTTTAATTTTTTGTAGAGATGGGTCTTGCTGTGTTGCCTAGGCTGTTCTTGAACTCCTGGTCTCAAGCAGGCCTCCCACCTTGCCTTTCAGAGTGCAGGGGTTACAGGCATGAGTCACCGCACCTGGCCCTGAGCTCCTTATCTTTAAAATCACTGTAGGACATCAGGTGGAGTTTTTCAGGACTCTGCAGGACATCAGGTGGAGCTAGGGGAGGACAGAATCAAATGGGAAGGGAGAAAAGAAAAATTCCTGGAGAATGCCACCGCTTGAGAGTTAGGTGACAGAAGAAAAGCCAGGACGAAGATTGAGCAAGAGCAGTCAGAGATAAAGGAAGCCAAAAGGATTGATGGGAGAGTTAAGAGCTTGAATGGTCATCTTAGCTAGGATGATAATTATTTTTTGAAACAAGGAAGGCTTGGAAGGATAAGAAAATAGGACATGAGAGTGATCTGGCTGCGATATCTGTCACCCCATTGATTGCCAGGGTTGATCCGGCTGATCTGGCTGGCTAGGCGGGTGTCTCCTGTCCTCACCACTTCGTGTGTGTCCCTCCCGAAGCTGCATGCTTGGTCGAAGAGGACAACCATCCCCAATAGAGGAGGACCGGTCTTCCATCAAGGGTATACGAGTAGCTGTGCTCCCCTGCTAGAACCTCCAAACAAGCTCTCAAGGACATGAAAATAGATAAGGAAGTAGAATGAAGAAAAAAGAGGGAAGTTCATTTTTTGAAGCAACTAAGGTGATCTTTTAAGATTCCCAGGGTTGAGATTAGAAAGGAGACTGTGGAGAAGGGTTTTGGGAAAGGGCAGGCAGAAGGAAGCTGAGGAATAACCACAGGATTGCCTAAATAGCACGTGGGACTTTCTGCACTCTTGCCCTGCTGGAGCGTATTTAACTTTTCTATTGCTACAAAAACCACTCCAAACTTGGCAGCATAAAACGACAACAATTTTATTGTGTTCATGGGTTTGGTGGGTGAGGAATTTAGAGAGGATACAGCAGGGATCTCTGCTTCAAGGTGCCGGGAGCCACTGCTGGGAAGAATTAAATAGTTGGGTACTGGAATCAGCTGGAGGGTTTTTCACTTGTCTGGTATCTGGGCTGGGAGGACTTAAGGGCTCGGTTCATGGGGGACTCTTGACCCAGGCACCTACACATGGCTTCTTCATGTGCCTTGGGCTCCTCCCAGCATGGCCACTGGTTTCCAAGAGGGAGCTTCCCAAGAGAGCAGCCAGAGAGTGAATGTTTCAAGAGATGAAAGCATAAGAAAGCTGCATGACCTTTTAGGACCTTACCTCAGAAGTCACATGACATGATTTGCACCATACTTTGTTGGTTGTAGTCCTCACAGTCCCCCACTGAGACTCAAGGGGAGGAAACAAAGCCCCTCCACCTCTTTATGAGGAGTGTCAGGGTCACATTACAAAAAAGCATGTGGGATAGAAGTTACTGTTGTGACCTTCTTTTAAAAATATAATTTGCTCCAGAGCCCAAGTGGAAAGAGTACTGGGAGGCATCCTTTAGACTGCAGGCTTATTGGTTGGATGTAACAGAAGCAGATAGAGTTCATGGAGGGATGGTGGCAAAAGTGATTGGATTCCAGGCTGGGTAGAGAAGGGTGTGTGAATCCACAGGAAAGGTCATCACTTGGATTGAGGGAGGCCAGGGTGGAGGTTAGGATGAAGATGAAAAATAGGGTAAAAATGTGGGGTGTAGAGAGGAACGACTCCAGTGGACCCCAGTGCTTGCTTTCACCTGTTACTTGGGGAATCACAGGTTACAGGTTTTGTCTGTAGTTATCTTAAATACACAGATGATATTTTTGTCTTCAACCCAGTAATATGACAGAATTATTTAAGGGACCAAATTAAGTGTGTGTTTAAAAGGGAAGAGGGAAGAGTTCATTTCTCACCCAACGCTGCCCCAAGTTCATGTCCCACTTATACATAGATGGAGAAGCGGCTCAGAGTGTGCTTTTCCAGCTCTGCCTCTGTGGACCTTTCATATACCTTTGGTTGCCTTCCAAGCTGGATCAGTGACTGCAGAGCCTGGCCGCCTTCTGTTATGTCACACTGCCTCCTGGTTCCTGCTTCCCCCAGATGACAAACCACCAAATGAAAAACAACTTTGATGATCAATTTCCACTCCTCTCCTGGAACCCTTTGGGGTCATTCCTGAAGAACTGGGTTTGGTGCCAAGCCAGAATAGGCACAGACACTCCTGTGGGAGGGCTCCTTTCTTGTGAGGGGAGCTGAGAGTCTTCCAGATCACAAACTGCAGATGGCAAGGGGAATGTTCCTTTACTCCCTCTCTGCTGTCCCTGCTTGGACAGAGGAGCCTGTCATTGCCGCAGCTGGTCTTGCTGCTGCGTGTAAAATCTTTCATTGATCTCTTGTATTACCTACTCTGACCTTAGGCTAGATCGTTTCCATATTCCTAAAGCCCCACTTGTCTTATCCTCGGCCTCATGATTTATAGAACTCCAGCTTAAGGCAGAACAGAGACTTCGGAACTGAGTAGTTCTGTCTCTTCCCACGTGTCCACTGTCTGCTAGTGCTATGTGACCTTGGGCAAGTTACTTCACCTCTCTGAGCGACAGTTTCCTCACCCATCAAATACAGCAATATCTGCAGTGAGGACTGTGCAGATAGCAGGGGTCCCTCCCCTCTGTGTCTGATTCAGTATTGGCAGGGACAGCTTTTCCTTCCTTCCCTGAGAGCAGGGTTCTTTAGATTCGTGTCACCCAACCCATCTTCTTTCCTCCTCAAATTACCCCTATAAACCAGCCTCCTCATCCTGTACACAAGTCTCACATGAAGAAACATTCGCTTTCCTTTCCAGGGTTGATCCTCAAGCCTGGAAAATCCCCCTCAAATATTGTAGAGTCATCTATACTGAACAGAATTTAGAGTACATTGTCACCCATTTTGCATGCCATATTTGCCACATGACTTTTGGTGTGTGAATGTGTGTGGGGTATTGAGGGATATTGCCTTATTTTAATGCCAGTTTACATTTGCAGTATATATGAGTAGGTTCGAGAGAAGTATATTTAAGTCCTCTGAATTATGTTGGTAATTTACATACTTCATAAATTCCGAGAGTAAGGCGAGACTCAGAATGCATACTCACTGGCGCAGTCTCCTCTCAAGCATACTTGGCTATTGGTTACACTCCGCTTGAACCCTCCCAAGACGCTGCCTCATAAGACAGCCCATTCTGCAGCAGCTCTCATTGTTACAGCATTCTTCCCTGGGATGCAACTAAATATTTCCACCCGGAACTTCTCTCCAATGACAGATGTCCAGTGACACATGGCTAAAGATGTCTTTCAGAACCACCACCATCCCCAGCTTACTTTGTACAGATTAGAATTAAAAGCGCCCTAACTTCTCTTTTGGAAATGGTGCCGGCATGTCTAGACCCTGCCCAGGTTCATTGTGGTCACAGAGGAGAGCTTGTTCTGCAGGACTCCACAGATAGGAAGCACTCTGCTACCTTGGGGCCTCTAGTCCCATTCCCAGCCCAGCAGGACCTGCTGTTAAGGGACCGATTGTTAAGCTCATTAGTGTTGGCACATACATTTATTTAATAATTTATTTATATCTCTGAGGCAGAGTCTTGCTCTTTCACGCAGGCTGGATTACAGTGGCATGATCATGGCTCACTGTAGCCTCAACCTGCCAGGCTCAAGTGATCCTCCCACCTCAGCTTCCCAAGTAGCTGGGACTACAGGTGCTCACCACCACACCCAGCTAATGTTTGTACTTTTTGTAGAGATGGGGTTTCACTGTGTTGTCCATGCTGGTCTCGAACTCCTGGGCTCAAGCAGCCCGCTTGCCTTTGCCTCCCAAAGTGCTGGGATTACAGGCATGAGCCACCGCTCCCTGGCCAGCAGATGTATTTATTAATTATTAAGAGATTGCTTTAACTTTGCTGGTAGTCTAGCTGCCTTGTAGGATAGCAGCTGTCACACCCTTCCCTCAGAGTTGCGTGTGTGGTGGTGTGACTCATGCAAGCAGCAAGTCTTCCACGGGGCCCAGCCATGAGCTGGCACCATCAGAAGGCTTTAGAGAAGGCGGGGGTTGGTAAGGCTTGTATAAAGTAGGAAAGGTAGGAGATCAAAGCAAAGTCTGTTCCTGGCTTTTTAGTCTTCGTGTTCATGTGTGCTTTTTTAAAAATAGCTTAGAAACATTTTCATAGTTTTTATGTAAGGTTTTAGAACATTGAGCAAGATCCCAGTTCTTTTTTGTGGCACTAAAGTGATAGAACTGAGGCCTGCTGAAGGTACAGTTTCCATTTCATTTTGCTGCTTCTCCTCTTAGACCCCTGACCTGGAGCAGCTGGAGCCGTCTTTGGAAGATGTGGAAAGCATGAATGATTTTGATCCCTTGTTTTCAGAGGAAACACCTGGAGTGGAGAAGCCGGTCACCACTGTCCAGGTTTGACTCCTACAGCCCAGAACATGCTTATTCTTTGAAGGTGTTGACTTAAATGGCTGGGCTAGTCTGTTTCTTTAGGACTTAAAACAAAACTGTTATATTTTTAGAAAATTGGGTACCAATACTTAAAACATCTGAAATCAGGGATTTTTTTTCCCCAGTGATTGATGGATTGGTTCCAGCACCAAGATCTGTGAATCTGTGAGAAACAGTCCACCCAGCAGAAACATTTGGGAAAGTGATTGGGAACTTGAGATCTGAAGACTGGCTCCTAATGGTTTCATTTACATTTAAGCCAACGCCAGTACACATAATCCTCTTTGGAGTCTATGTTTCTGTCATTACAATACCAACCAGATAAACTGTCCTGAGTCTGAGACCCACCTGGGAGAGAGCTTCCTTGCCATGCAGGGATGGGGCACTAAGCAAGGCTCTGAGCAGGAGACTTGTCCTTTAGGCTGGGCCTTTTACTGCTGCTCTCCACAAAGCCTCTCCCTGCAACTCGGGGACCATTTCATGATGGAAACATGTACATGTTTATAATATACAGGTTGGAAGAAGGTAGGAAATTGAATTAGCAGGTCAAGAGAGTTGGGAGAGGCTATACTGGCATTAACAAGGGACAGAAACTGTTGGGATAAGAAATGCAGTTTGAGGAAACTAGCCACTGGAATGTTTGTCATTTGGCCTAAAAATATCTTTTAAACCTTGGGTTTTTAAAGCCCGTGTTTAACTTGGCAGCATATCATCAGCTGTTTGTTGGGACAGAAAGAATTCGAGCTCCAGAGATTATTTTCCAGCCATCTCTCATAGGAGAAGAGCAGGCTGGGATTGCAGAGACTCTTCAGTACATTCTGGACAGGTGAGACAGCGAATCTGCTTTTCCTTCTATTTTCCTGAAACATTTCCTTGGATTTTGCATTGAATGGTAGATGTGATGGTCAGACACTGGAAAATGCATCTCACTCTCTTCTCTTCATTGACTTGCTGTGCTCAGACAGTATTCCCTTAATCTCTTATCACCAGGCCTGGCACCTAACTGGCACCTAACTGGAGCTCTGTAGTTAGTTGTTTTCTGAACCTATAGATGCTGGGTTGACTTGAGTAGCTTTAAGAGTGTCTTTTAAGTTTGAACAACCCAGTAACATGTACACTGGTATCCATGTAAACCTTCACATTATTAAAGATTAATATCACCCTAAAATATTGCAGAGCTAATAAAATTTTTTCCTCTCCTTTCCATTCCTCTTAAATGTAAACTTAAGAGTTTATATTTCCATAAGAATCCAGGTGTTTTACCCATTTATGCGGGCATTTACCTGAAGTGTGAGTTTGATCATTCAAGTTGGTCAAGTAGGGAATCGAATTTTGTAGGACTCTGGCTGCTGTTGGTTATAACGACAGGGAAATGTGTACCTAGCAAGGAAGACAAAGCTGCTGCTGCCACTTTGAGTGCCTTTGAGCCTTGTCTTAACAGTGGTTGGAAAGTGATCAAATATGTCTTAGATAAAGCTGTTATTAAAAAAGATAAAAAGAAAGCACAGGTCGATAGATGGGCCCTGAAAAGGGAGGCATGGCTTTTGGGGATAATGGAAATGTTTGTCCCTTGATTGTAGTGATCGTTACTGGAACGTATAAATTTGTTAGACTTTATCAAAACGTATGCAAATTTATTCTCAAGTTTATTTTTTTTTAAATGTATTATAAAAGTATAAAAATTCTAATCATGTTAAGGAGATAAGTTGGCCATTCACATTATGGTTTTGTCTGGCTATGTGGACACATTGGGCTGGCATTCTGTAGAGACACAGATGAAAATTGAAAGTTTTGGTTTTTTGTTTTTTTTTTTTAGCTTTTTGTGTAGATGTTTTTCTGTTTTGTACTGAGAGCTTACATTTCTGCATCCACATTTTGTTCTGATATTTGAGTTAAGGGACTATATTAGGAGTTGTTTCTTTCCTAGGTACCCAAAGGACGTTCAGGAAACGCTGGTTCAGAACGTTTTCCTCACTGGCGGGAACACGATGTATCCTGGGATGAAAGCCAGAATGGAGAAGGAACTGTTGGAGATGAGACCCTTCCAGTCTTCTTTTCAGGTACTGATTGTTTGAGTAGTCAATTATTCTGAAAATAGCATTACCTGTTTTCTGATTGCAAAAGTAATAATCATGCAGAAATATCCACTGTTAACATTTTTGTGGCTTTTCTTCTGATCTTAAGTCCATGTTTAATTTTTAAAGCAAAATGGGAATCGTGTTTTATATACTATTTTGTGGTTTCTTTAAATTGGAAGATGAAGACATACATAGAATTCTAATAGTGTGAAAAAGTGTACCTGAAGAGTAAGTCATTCTCCCTACCCAGTCCCGGCCCTGCAGGCAGAGCTTGTCTGCCATACATTTTCTACACATGTGAGTGTGTACTGCTTTGTAAGCTGAACTGAACTTGTCGTGAACATTTTCCCATGTCATTGTTCTGTTAAAATACTATCTTTATGACTGGTGTGAATGCCCCACAATTTATCTACCAAATCCCTGATTACCAAGAAACATGGTGTGAGCTCCCATCATGGATCAGGCACTGTGGGGACGCTGAGATGTCCTGAACACAGCACCTGGCTGCAAGGACCTCGCTATCTGAGCAGGCAGCAGCCAGGTAAATCAGAGCATAAGGGATATACAGGCATGGGCACCTGGCAGTCTCCATTGGCGTTCAGAAAAGGCTCCATGGATCTGGATCTTCTCAGGATGAATAGGTGTTTGCCATGTAGACAGTGTGGGGCATGGGACACATTGGAGAGAGCATCCCAGACAGAAGGAGTAGCATGAGCAAGGGCACACAGGCCAGAAGCTTGTTGAGGGAGTGAGAAGTGGCTGAGTGTTGCTGGAGCACGTGGCTGACAGAGGAGAGGAGGTGGGTGAGGTAGAGAGGTCAGCAAAGCCCACACTGTGCAGAGCCTGTGCATCCTGCTAAGAAGCTTGGCCGTGGTCTGCTCTGCTGCATGATGTAGTGTACATTCAGGGTGGCGTCTCGGGGCTTTGGTCCTGACTCCATCGTCACCATTACTGAATTGTGCTAAGCTCTGGCTTTCTCAGGGGTAGGAAGGGGTAATCGGTATGTGTTGCTGGGATTCGGTGTACTGGTGCACGTCAAGCGCCCAACAGTGGGCCTGCATGTAATAAACTCTCAGACATGAGCTGTTGTTTTGAGGGTCCCTGAGACCATTCCAGGCAGGATGTTTCTCTGGGAGGATTCACAGGACTCAGCATGTAATCATACTTACAGCTGTGACTTAGTACGGCAACTCAGCAGAGAGACAAGGTGCCTGGGGTGAAACCTGGGAGCAACCAGGTGTAAGTGTCTGAGGCCTTTCCCTGTGGAGTCACACAGGACATAATTTCCCCAGCAGTGCCTTGTAAGAGCTCATTAAGTGTCACCAACCAGGGAAGTTGGTAGGAGATGCAGTGCCTGGGGTTTTATTTGGGGACCGATCACATAGGCGCCCCCTGCTTGGAGCATACCCAAATTCCAGGCTCACAGAAGGGAAACACGTGTTTGGCATAAACCACGTTATTTGTATGAATGGGCTTATTGAGCCACTCGTACCAGGTGGTGGTGGGGACCTCCCAAAATCCAAGTTCCCAGATGCCTGCCAAGGCCCCACCCTTGGAAGTAGCCTTTCTAAGGTAACAGTAGGGCCGTTCTGTTAACTCTTTTCTGTACAGCTGTTATCTTTAGCCATAGTGATGAACCATGAAGGAGCCTAAGCAGGGAATGTGATCTGATTTACATTTAGTAAGATATATTTGACATTGATGTGCAAAATAGGGTATTAAGAGAAATGTTGGAAGCAGACCAGTTAGGAGGCAGCTTCCCAGCCTCTAGGAGGAAGCCCTCACTCCACTCGTCAGGCTTTACAGGGTCTCTTGTGTTCTGACCTTGAAGAACTGTCCAGGGTTCTCTCATCATTCCCCCTTCCACCCTGCACTTCAGCCACAGCTCACTGCTATTAGTTTTCCAGAGTTTTCCTGCCTTAGGGCCTTTGCACATGCTGGCTCCCTTTGCATGGAGTACTCTTTCTAGCTCATCCAGCTCTCTCAGTGGCTGGTTTCCTGGAAATCACTTCCTCCAGGAAGCCTTCCCTGTCCTTTCCTATGTTCCTTACGAGATCCACCTCTGTTAGGGAAGAGACAACCACTGTCTTGTGAAATGTGTCCCAAGCCCTTGGCACAGTGTCACTTGGTAGCTCTGCAGGAAATAGGAAAGCAGTGGCAGAGGGAGAGGAAGAGAGGGAGTTGATGTGAAAGAGGCTAAGGCAGTCAAATTGTCAGAACTTGTTAGTAAGTTGGATCTGGGGAGGGAAGTGAGACCTAAGGTAATTCCTAAGTTCTAGGTGGAGCAACTAGTTTGCTGAATAAGAGATTCACTGGACGAGGAGCTGTGGGAGGAAGGACAGACTTAAGGGAGAGGATAGTGTGTTCCATTTCCAGGGTGGGTTGAGTTTCCAATGGACACACGGAGAGGTGGCCACAGCTAGCTGGATGAGCGCTCGGTGGGGAAGGGGGAAGGCGAGAGGGTAGTTTTACACCCTTCCACCTGCCACAAGCATAGATGTGTTCTGGGCACTCTTTGGGAGGGTAGGTGATGTTAAGGATGAATTCCTAAAGAACACTAGCATTTAAGGGCTGTAGGACACCCATGAGTCTAAGAAGGAGGTGGAGGAAGAGGAGGGGGGAGCAGGAGAGAGCAGCAGTGCTGAAGCCAAGGGGTGACAGGAAGGGGCGTGAGCATGGGGCTGAGTCACGCTGGCAGTAGCGACTTAGGATGAAGTAGTAGAGAAAAAAATCGTAGAGGATTTTCTAGATGTGTTTCTTGATAATTTCCAAAGTCTCCCATGAATCACTTTGTGAGCATTGGTTGTAGGAATGCTGCTACCAGCCAGATCTTTTCCCAGCCCTGCTTTTGCTGTGTTGGTCTCACCTGACCTTGCCTCAGCTCCCCCCGACTCCTGTTTCTGCCCCCTTTCACATTGTAATGTCATGAGTGTGTCACACCGTCACTAAGCCCTGATGTTCCAATTTTACATTATATATTCAGCAGTAGCTCAAACACACCGGCCACCTAAGGCCCTCCGTGATCATTAGAAGGAAGAGAACCCCAAGATGTGCAAATTTACAACTTTAAGTTCCTGTTTTTACTTAAACAGCAAAACATTTTCAAATATTACAAAAATATCAGACAATTTAAACCAAAATGAAAACCAAGAAAACTGTAGTTTCAGTCTCTGCGAGCAATGTTGTTTGTGTACTCTCCGGTCGTTTTCATCTCATGTATGGTTTTCACCAAAAAGAGATTGTTGACAGCTTATTTTGTAACCTGTAATTTTTTCACTTTCGAATTATTGTGACACTGTTTTTATATGAATAGGTACATTTCCAGAGCATCCTTTTTATGGCTATATAGTCTATTAATCATATATCTTGCTGCATTTTTTATTAGTAATGATGAGAGCTACGCTTTATTGAATACTCTGTAGCAGGCAGCATCTACCACGTGCCTTACACTCATGCACTTAAGTCCCCTGAAGGCAGGGGGTGGGGCCTCTGGTTATCCTAGTGGCGAGGTCCTGGTTCACAGGCCCCTTGCCCACGTGGCAAGCCCAGCAGCTGGACTCCTGAGCCTGCACTTTCCCACCTCCATTTGCGCATGCTGATTCCACCATTACGGCCTCTGCCCTTCACTCCCGAAAGTTCTGAAACCACCATTCCAACCTGGAACTCATGGGATTGGTGGAGTGGGGAGGTGAGAGGGAGGTAGGAAGTGAGGCGGGTAACTCCAGGACACAGGAGGCCGGATGGGAGCTGCAGCGTTACCATAATGATCAGGTCAGCCTAGCCGAGGGCCTTCTCAGAGCTGCTGAACCCCAGCCCAACTCCGATGAGAAGAAGGGGAAACTAAGTGCCAGCAGCCTCACAGGGAACGCCCAGGTCACCCCTCTCTGCTGCCGTTTCTCCGGAGGCTCTTTTGCTACCCTGGCTAGAGCTGCCTTGCAGCGGCCCCTGTTTCCCTCTGCTCAGAGTGGGGAGCAGGGCCAGGAAGGCCTTTTCCCCAGGTCACAGGCCAGCCTCCGCTTCACCTCTCCCTGACAGCTTGTGGTTGACAGCATCGCGCAGCAGGAGGCTGAGCCACTGGCCCCTCTCTGACCCCGAGTGTCAGGACTTGTGTTAGTAAAATGTCTGACAGCCATGTGTTCTGAAGAATCTGGGCATTCCAGCTCAGCTTTGTTTACAGGGTGTGGAGCTAGCCCCGAACTGTCTTGGAGTGCACTGGGCCCACCTATGTGTATATTTCTGGGGATAAAATATCGGGGGCTGTAGCTGAGCCAGGTGAACATTCACGCCTGGAGCCCTGGTGGAGGTGTCCTGGTGAATCTTCTTTGTGTTTCAGGTTCAACTTGCCTCAAACCCTGTGCTGGACGCCTGGTACGGTGCTCGTGACTGGGCCTTGGACCACCTAGATGATAATGAAGTTTGGATCACCAGGAAAGAATATGAAGAAAAGGGAGGAGAGTACCTCAAGGAGCACCGTGCTTCCAACATCTATGTCCCCATCCGCCTGCCGAAGCAGGCCTCCCGCTCCTCAGATGCCCAGGCATCCAGCAAGGGTTCTGCTGCTGGCGGAGGTGGTGCTGGCGAGCAGGCGTAGCAGAGGCCCTCCAGAGAGGCTGTCCTGCACACCATGCCTTGGGCCATGTTGGCAGCATGACAAGACCATGATTGTGCTAGATGTATCCACCCAAGTCTGCTGGTCACATTTGGCAGCAAAATGGATTTCTCCTGGGGAGAACAAAGTTAAGGGACACTGAGACCTGTCCTTCAGAATTAGGTTCACTTGGGGGCTTCTGTGGTGAAGAGACTAACTGGCCTTCTGATGTCTTTGTTCAACTGTGACCGGCTGTGCAGTCAGCATCCTGTAGCAGTAAATGAAGACAGAATGGAGGACACAAATGTACAAAATGCACAAGACTGATTTCTTACCACGTTTTAGTCTTTTTTGTTTTAAAAAAATTCTTTAAAATTTATCTTGTCTGTGTAGATACTTTATTCTTCTGGATGTATTCAGAAATTGCATGAATGCCCAGCGAGGGGAGGTCTTTCACGCATATGAAAAGGTAATGTTTATTGCCAGGCACAGTGGCACATGCCTGTTAAGGCCCAGCTATGTGGGAGGCTAAGGCAGGAGGATCACTTGAGCTCAGGAGTTGGAGGCTATCGTGTGCTGTGATCGCACCTGTGAATAGCCACTGCACTCCAGCCTGGGCAACGTAGGAAGACCTTGTGTCTAAATAGATACATTTTTCATAAAAGGTAATGTTTGTGCAATAAAAGCAGTTGCCTCAGGAATCAGAAATATTTCCCTCCTCCTATTTTTTCCCCTTACAGATAAGGAGAAAAGGCCCAGAAAGTTACCAACATGTGAGGTCACTCTGCAAGCCAGGGACCTGCTTGGTGCCAGAGCCAGTGGCCAGCTTTGTTCATACTTTCTCTGCTGGAAACTTTTCCACCATACAAGGCCTACAAATGTTTTATTTCTGTCCCTCTGAGTTTTTGGCACCTTAACTTTTTCAGACTTTTCGAAAGAAAGAAAGAGACTGGAGGAGGTTTATCCTGTGTCCTATTCAGTTTTGCCATAATCTCACATTCCCTGTACCTTCCCAGCTCTGTCTTACGTGGACAGATAACCCCTCCCTTTTACAGAGATTGCTTGGTGAGAATTTTAACTCAAAGACAACCAATTATTGATCCCAGAAGGCCCCTGAGCTAGTATCATTGTCACCGAATTTGTACCTTTAAATCTCATGGAGCCTCTAGCCCACCCCTCTGATGAGGCCACCACAGAACCTGTTTGCTCATACAGTTTACCAAGGGTCATATCACCTGGATCTCCAGCTCTGGAGGGCTTAGAAACTGCAGACTGGGAGGGAAGGAGCAGTGGTGATGGAGAGAGTGGAAGACCACAGCTGACCCTAGACAAAGGAAAAAGGAAAGGTTATCACAAACCTAAACAGAAGATGCAGAGGGGGAAGATACTCCATTGAAAAGAAAGAAACGAAATAAGATAGTAATAGATGCGGAAAAGAGGCAAAGGAAATTAAACTGTAGTTGAAAATTTGACTATGTTGAGCTTTTGTGGTGCTGGTGGTAAAAACAACGTGACATAAACTTTACCATCTTAACCATTTTTCTTGTTTTGTCTTTGTTTTGAGACAGAGACACTCTTTCGCCCAGGCTAGAGTGCAGTGGCGCAATCTTGGCTCTCTACAGCCTCCACCTCCCGGGTTCAAGCAGTTCTCCTGCCTCAGCCTCCCGAGTAGCTGGGACTACAGGTCTGTGCCTCCAAGTCCGACTAATTTTTTGTATTTTTAGTAGAGATGAGGTTTCACTGTGTTAGCCAGAATGGTCTAGATCTCCTGACCTCGTGATCGGCTTCCCAAAGTGCTGGAATTACAGGCATGAGCCACCGCGCCTGGCCCATCTTAACCATTTTTAAGCGTCCAGAACAGGAGTGTTAACTCAGTGCACATTGTTGGTCAAAAGATCTCCAGAACTTTTTCATCTTGTCAAACCACACTCAATACCCATCAAACAACTCCCTCCCTCCGCCTCTGTCCCTCCCTAACCCTTGGCAACCACCATTCTACTTTGTAAGAGTTCTTCTTTAGATACCTCACATAAGGGAAGCCATACAGTATTTGTTTTTTTGTAACTGGCCTATTTCACTTAGCATAATGTCCTCAGGCTTCCTCCATGTTGTGGCATGTGTCAGAATTTCCTTCCCTTTTAAAGCTGAATAATATTCCATCATAGGGATAATACTACATTTTCTTTCTTTACCTTTGATGGACATTTAGGCTGCTTCCATTTCTTGGCTATTGCAGATAATGCTGCAGTGAACATGGGAGTGCAGATATCTCTTCAGGATCCTGATTTCAATCCCGTTGGATATATACCTAGAAGTGGGACTGCTGGATCATATGGTAGTTCTATTTTTAATTTTTTGTGGAACACTCGTACTGTTTTCCATAGCAGCTGCACCATTTTCATTCCCACCATCAGGGCACGAGAGTTCCAGTTCCTCCCCATCCTCACCAACTCATTATTTTGTTTGTTTGTTTGTTTTTGTTTTTTATAGTTTCCACATTTACTATCTTTCATCTTTTTGATAACCATTCTAACTGAGGTGAGGTGATGCTTCATTTTGGTTTTGATTTGCATTTCCGTGATGATTAGTGATGTGGAGCATCTCTGTTTGCTTGTTGGCCATTTGCGTGTCTTCTTTAGAGAAGTCTCTATTCATGTCATTAGCCCCTTTCTTAATTGGGTTATTTCATTTTTTGTTGAGTGTAGGAGTTCTTTATATACTCTGGATGTTAACCTCTTACTAGATACATGGTTTGCAAATATTTTCTCCCATTCTGTAGGTTACCGTTTCACGCTTACTGTTTACTATGCGGAAGTTAAGTTTAATATGGTCTCATTTGCCTGCTTTTTGTTTCATTGTCTGTTTTTGGTGTCATATCCAAGAAATCATTGCCAAATTCAATGTCGTGACGCTTTTTCCCTAAGTTTTCTTCTAGGAGTTTTACAGTTTCAGGTCTTATATTTAGGTTTTATCAACTGCATTAAATTTGGTTGAAGAAAAAACAATGGAACATAATTAATGTTTAAATTGGTAATAAAATTGTTTTCCCCCACAAAACAAACCACCCTGAATATAAATACTGTAAGGACACTCTGTGCTTGGGAAAATTGACTCAGAAGTGTCAGATCCCAGTGAAACGATTAGATTTTAAAGATAAAAGAAGTCCTCTCGGGCCAGGGGTGGTGGCTTATGCCTGTAATCCCAGCACTTTGGGAGGCTGAGTCGGGCGGATCACTTGAGGCCGGGAGTTTGAGACCAGCCTGGCTAACATGGCGAAACCCCGTCTCTACTAAAAATACAAAACTTAGCCGGGCTTGGTGGTGCACACTTGTAATCCTAGCTACTTGGGAGGCTGAGGCATCAGAATCGCATGAACGCAAGAGGCCAAGGTTGCAGTGAGCCAAGACTGCACCACTGCACTCCAGCGTGGACAACAGAGCAAGGCAAGACTGTAACCCCCGCCCAAAAAAAAAGAAAACAACAGTCTTCTCAGTCTCTATGCAAAAAGACAAATGGCTTACATAAGATAGGAAAATTAGATGGTGTCAGACTTTTTAACAGCACTAATACTGGGAAGTTGAATAAGTTGAATAATTAGAAAACAAAAATGATAAATTTGAAGAAGGATGGCAAACTTTTTAAACTACTAGAAGGCCTAATTAATGTAGAAAGCACAAATGCATGTGATAAATAAGGTAATAGTCATCGAAAGAAGAAATAGGTTGGGCTTAGTGATGCACACCTGTAATCCTAACGCTTTGGGAGGCCGAGGCAGGAAGATCATTTGAGCCTGGGAGTTTGAGACCAGCCTGGGCAACATAGGGAGACTCCACCTGTACAAAAAAATTTAAAAATCAGCTGGGTGTGACATTGCATGTCTGTGGTTCCAGCTGCTCGGGAAGCTGAGGTGGGAGGATTGCTGCAGTGAGCCATGATTGTGTCACTACACTCCAGCCTGGCCAACAAAGTGAGACCCTGTCTCAAATAAGCATCTATTTTGCACATACTCTGTAAATATATGAGAAAATCTAGATGCAACTGTCAGTTTTCTGCATTCAAGCCTTTAATATATATATAAAAAAAGTGAATTTTCTAGGAAAATAATTTACCAAAACTGACCTTAACAGAAGTATATAAAGTCCAAACAGACTTTTTTTTCCCATAGACAAACTCAAGAAAATTGCCACAGAGCTGCCTCTCTCCCTCCAAAAAACTCCAGGACCAGCTGAGTTTAACAGCTATTAGTCTTAAAGACTAGATACTTACAGTGTTCCTTAAACTTTACCAGAGCATAGTAAAAAAAATCATCTAAGTGATATTTGTGTATTGAGTATAATGTTGCTATCAAAATCCAGTAGGTTGTACATACACACACAAAACAATCTTGCTTAAAGATATCAATGGAGAAAACACAAATTATTTGCAATTGAAATCCACCAACACATTAAGAAATAACATCATGGCTGGGCGCAGTGGCTCACACCTGTAATCCCAGCACTTTGGGAGGCCGAGGCGGCCGAATCACGAGGTCAAGAGATCGAGACCATCCTGGCCAGCATGGTGAAACCTCGTCTCTACTAAAAATACAAAAATTAGCTGGACGTGGTGACGCGCCTGTAGTCCCAGCTACTCGGGAGGCTGAGGCAGGAGAATCACTTGAACCCAGGAGGTGGAGGTTGCAGTGAGCTGAGATTGCACCCCTGTACTCCAGCCTGGTGACAGAGCAAGTCTCCATCTCAAAAACAAACAAAAAACATTGTGACCAAATGGGTTTTATTCCAGGAAATCCAGATACATCTGTCAAACACCAAAATCTCGGTGGCTTAACACCAGGTATATTTCTTATGCTGCATGTTCAGTAAATACCAGTATGGTGCAGTGCGGGCAGGGGGTGATGCATTGCTGTGGATTATTAATTACTCCACACCATGTTATGATCCTTCCACCTCAATGCAAAGCAAGGGAAGAGAACATCAAGGGTTAAGTCCTGGCTCCCAAATGTGCCACCCAGAACATATCCACCACGAATACTCAAATTTCACTGGCCAAAGCAAGTCACTTAGCCATGTTTAATTTCTTAGTATTTCATTTTACTCTGTTTATTTATGACTGTATGCCCTTGTGTGTGTGTGTTGGTGGTTCTTGGAATTATAATATGCATCTTTAAAATATTACACTCTGGGGGGTTGCAGGCAAAAAAATTACAGTCTGCCTTAATTAATTCTACAATACTTCATATACAATGTCAGAATGCTACCATATATACTGCGGTGTACCACAGTATAACTCTGTTTCCCCCGGTTGGTCTTTTGTGGTATTGTCATGTATTTTACTATGATGTTGTGAATCCCATAACAGTATGAATTTTTTTTATGGAGTAGTCTTCTGGAGAAATGTAAAAAGATGGTCTTGGCTGGGTGCGGTGGCTCACCCCTGCGATCCCAACACTTTGGGAGGCCAAGGTGAGAGGACTGCTTGAGCTCAGGAGTTCAAGACCAGCCTGGGCAACATAGCAAGACCCTGTCTCTATTAAAAAACAAACAAATGCCGGGTGCGGTGGCTCATGCCTGTAATCCCAGCACTTTGGGAGGCCGAGGCGGGCGGGTCATGAGGTCAAGAGATCAATACCATCCTGGCCAACATGGTGAAACCCCATCTCTACTGAAAATACAAAAATTAGCTGAGCGTGGTGGCACACGCCTATAGTTCCAGCTACTTGGGAGGCTGAGGCAGGAGAATCGCTTGAACCCAGGAGGCAGAGGTTGCAGTGAGCCAAGACGGTGTCACTGGACTCCAGCCTGGTGACGGAGTAAGACTCCATCTTAAAAAAAAAAAAAAATCTTAGCTGGCCTTGGTGGTGCATGCCTGTAGTCCCAGCTACTAGGGAGGCTGAAGCAGGAGGATTACTTGAACCTGGGAGGTCAAGGCTGCAGTGAGCCATGATTGCGCCACTGCACTCCAGCCTGGGTGACAGAAGAGCAAGACCCTGTCTCAAAAAAAAAAAAAAAAAAAAGATGGTCCTTGGCACTAACCTGCAAGTTGGCCCTTTCCAGTACAGGAGAGTAGGGATGGAGGGTCATTTCCTTGACACTAGTCTCTCAGCTTGGGCATTCCTCTCAGGAATGCTTAACAGGATGAAGGAGGGGGCTTCGCCTTTGGCCAGTGCCCAGCTTAAGTACCTTTTGGAAAAGTTCCAGCAGACATGGAGTAGGGTGGGGTTCTGCAAACAGCCATTCCTCAGCCTAGACAACCCTCTGCTTCCACAAGAATTGGGAGATGAATTCAGCTGCCTGCACTTCCCAGCCTGCATCAGGTTTTTATTTGTTTGTTTGTTTGTTTATTTATTTATTTATTTATTTATTTATTTATTTAGAGATGGAGTCTCACTCTGTCACCCAGGCTGGAGTGCAGTGGGCGCAATCTTGGCTCACTGCAACCTCCGCCTCCTGGGTTCAAGCGATTCTCCTGCCTCAGCCTCCTGAGTAGCTGGGACTACAGGCGCGTGCCACCATGTCTGGCTAATTGTATTTTTAGTAGAGTCGGGGTTTCACCGTGTTAGCCAAGTCTTGATCTCCTGACCTTGTGATCCACCTGCCTCAGCCTCCCAAAGTGCTGGGATTACAGGCCTGAGCCACCATGCCTGGCTTGTATCAGGCTTTGATGAGCACGTGGCCAGGAGAAGGGTAGTGCTGTCTAGCTGATCCCCTGCCCGGGCAACCTCCTGTGGATTGCCGGGGATTGAGGTTAATCGTATGCCCCAGCCTGGACAAATTTCTGGAAACCCTTTTGCTTTAGTCGTGGGAGCAGGGCTTTACCCACTGATATTCCCCAGCTTGCAACGCTTCAGCAATCATCTGGACTGGGTTTCATCACAGGTGGTGGTAAGTCTCCAAGGCTTTACAATTGGACTATTAAAACCATGCCCTGGTCATCAGTAGAAAAGGGCATTCCAGTAGTGTGAACTAGGTCCTTGTGTTGATGGTGATTCTGCCAGCCTTTGCTACAGGCATTCCTTCAGCCATTCAGAGAAGATACGCTCAAATGCTACAGTGTACTCTAAGATATGAATAAAATGAACCAGGATATTTTCAAAGGCCCCCAAAGGAGAGGATGACCTGCCCTCATTTTCTTGACGTCTTTTCTCACATCTGGGCCTGTGCAATAAGGAAGCTCTTACAAAACTGCTGAGACACACTGGGAAATCCAGGGTATACCGATCACATCCAGCCCATCCTGGCACTCCTTGGTGTGTGCCAAGCTAGGGGCTATGGGAACGGGGTGAGTGGGTAGACCCTTTGATGCCACTCCACAGCTTTCTGGGGAGCACCAAAATGACAGGAATGCAAAATCTCTGAAGCCTATTTTCTGAATTCCGGGCTGACCCTGCAGAAGGGCCAAACTTAAAGAAGAAGCCGGGCCGGGCCCGGTGACTCACGCCTGTAATCCTAGCACTTTGGGAGGCTGAGGTGGGTGGATTGCCCAAGGTCAGGAGTTCGAGACCAGCCTGGCCAACATGGTGAAACCCCGTCTCTACTAAAAAATACAAAAATTAGCCAGCATGGTGGTGGGTGCCTGTAATTCCAGCTACTCCACAGGCTGAGGCAGGAGAATTACTTGGAGGTTGCAGCGAGCTGGGTTACTTCACTCCAGCCTGGGCATAAGAGTGAAACTCTGTCTTGGGGAGCAGGGGCAGGGGGGGAAGCTGCCCGAGGAGTCTGGTAGGGTGATGAACGTGAGAGCAGAGGTGTAGCTCAGGACCCTGCAGCACTGCAGCTTTGGCCCTTTGCAGGCTGTAGAAGCAGAATCGTAAGACTTCTCCTGGCCCATTTCTGTCCATTTCTCGATTTGAGTTCTCAGCCTGCTCTTCTGGCTCCCTGCTGTCTAATGGAATTCCAGAGCTT